AGGTAGGACCCGAGTTGGTAAATACGAGCTTGGAAGAACTTTGGGAGAAGGAACTTTCGCTAAGGTTAAGTTCGCGAGGAATGTTGAAAATGGTGATAATGTAGCCATTAAAGTCATTGATAAAGAGAAAGTTTTGAAGAATAAGATGATCGCTCAGGTATATATATATATGTGTGTGTATAGAATTCAGCTTCTATGTTCTTTCGGAATCGGATTGTTGTTTTAACTTCGATTTGGTTCTTCTTGTGCAGATTAAGCGTGAGATTTCGACTATGAAACTCATCAAGCACCCAAATGTGATCCGAATGATTGAGGTTTTGATCTAAATTACTTGTTGCTTGCATGTTTTAGAATCTATGAAGCTGTGATTCGATGTTATTGATAATATGGTGTTGCACGTTTTTGTTGTTCTAAGATTCGTTTGAAGTTGTGTGGTCCCTGGCTAATCATGTATATATAAATATTATTCTATGTATTCTTTTGGTATCTTTGTAGTTAGTTACTAGATTTTTATCTTGTTTCAGGTGATGGCCAGCAAAACTAAGATCTACTTTGTGTTGGAATTCGTTACTGGTGGAGAGCTTTTCGATAAAATCGTAAGCTTTCAATTCATTGAAGATAGAAATGAAATCTCGAGTGAAGTAGTATAGGGACTTGATTCTTTAAAATTGTCATGTAATTAGTCAAGCAATGGGAGGTTGAAGGAAGATGAGGCGAGGAAGTACTTCCAACAGCTTATTAATGCGGTGGACTATTGTCATAGCAGAGGAGTTTATCATAGAGACCTTAAGGTTAGGAATCTTGTTCTTGCTTGTGAATGAATTAGTGGCGGAATTATAGTTCAATGTGTTGAATCGGGTTTCACCTTCTGGTTGCAGCCAGAAAATTTGCTTTTGGATGCAAATGGGGCTCTGAAAGTGTCTGACTTTGGATTGAGTGCTCTACCTCAACAAGTCCGAGTGAGCATTGATATATTAATTTCTTATTCTGTTATTTCGATGTAAATGCCATAGCATGATAATTCAGCTTCGATGGCCTTTAAGGAGAAAGTTTTCCATGAGTTATCAAAAGCTGATTTGTGACCCTTCTTCTTTAGGAGGATGGGTTACTTCACACGACATGTGGAACCCCCAATTATGTTGCTCCAGAGGTATTATCTACTTCTTCTGTAAACTGACACTCAGTTGTTTTGAACCTTGAAGTCTATTCTTTTCTGGTCTCAGTAACCCTCTATTGTTATCTCTCTAGGTAATCAACAACAAAGGTTACGATGGAGCGAAGGCGGATTTGTGGTCTTGCGGTGTGATTCTCTTTGTCTTGATGGCTGGTTATTTACCTTTTGAAGATTCTAATCTAACGTCATTGTATAAAAAGGTGTTACGCTTTACTCGTCTTCTTTGACTTTTTATTCTGTCTGATATACGTTCATTTGGCTTGATATGGGAAAAGGGTTCAAGTTTTGCGCTTCTAGCAAGTGTTATTTGGGTGTATGGGAGTCTGTCGTCGAGAATATATATAGCACAATATGCCACCTGAGTCTTGTTCCTCTATTATTACAGATCTTCAAAGCAGAATTTACCTGCCCTCCCTGGTTCTCAGCAAGTGCGAAGAAGTTAATCAAAAGGATTCTGGATCCCAATCCAGCAACGGTATAGTTTTCTTTCCCTATTATATTTGAGGAGGTCTCCTTTGTACCCTGCCGTTTTATGCAAAAGCTTCTTCTGGATTGATTAGATCTGAATTGTTCACACCGATTTTCTTATATTCGACAGAGGATTACATTTGCTGAAGTCATTGAAAATGAATGGTTTAATAAAGGGTATAAAGCACCTAAATTTGAGAATGCTGACGTCAGCCTTGATGATGTTGATGCGATTTTTGATGAATCAGGGGTGAGGCTTATGTTTTTATTTGGTTTATCGAATTTGGATGAGCTTTGTCTTGGATGTTTGCTCAATTTGTTTTTCTTGGTTAACAGGAGTCTAAAAACCTTGTTGTGGAGAGGCGAGAAGAAGTTAAAACACCAGTAACTATGAATGCTTTTGAGCTCATCTCAACATCCCAGGGTCTCAATCTCGGTTCACTTTTCGAAAAACAAATGGTACAGATTTCTGATAAATAAAACATTTGTTTTTGGACTTGGTCAGACTTAATGAGAGATAGCTATGTTTGAGAGGTTTAGCGATCGATACTTTTCTTGAGAAACCCGTTTTGTTTATTGGAAGTCGTCATTCTGAGTGTAACTGATAAGCACCTTTGGTTTCAGGGGCTTGTGAAACGAAAAACTCGATTTACTTCCAAATGTTCGGCTAATGAGATAGTCACAAAAATTGAGGCTGCAGCAGGGCCTATGGGGTTTGATGTCAAGAAAAATAACTACAAGGTTGGGATAAACTTTACATATATATTCACCCTCGCTTTTAAATTGCTTGGATTAGTTACTTCTGATTAGACCCTTTTACCATTTCTTGACTCCTTCAGATGAAGCTTCTAGGAGAGAAATCAGGTCGGAAGGGTCAGTTAGCAGTTGCCACCGAGGTTAGTTTTCTCATTGACCACCCTTTTTATGATGTTGCCTAATGTTGGATGAACCTGAATATAAAGTAAATTGACATCTACTTTCAGGTTTTTCAAGTTGCTCCATCGCTTTATATGGTTGAAATGCGAAAATCAGGGGGTGACACCTTGGAATTCCATAAGGTAATGATGCAAGGCTTATAACCCTGGTCTGGTTCTACTTGGCTTAAAACCGAGCTGTGTTTTTTCGCGTTTCACTTTGAAACCTGACTGTTCTTGTGAAATGGCTCCATTAACTCATGTTTGCGCTCTGATTCTTGTGGGTTTGTTTCTGAACTAAGCATTCATTTTTTTCCTTTCGTCTGTTTTCTCTGTCTTCTTTTAGTTTTACAAGAACCTGACCACGGGGCTTAAGGACATTGTTTGGAAAACAATCGACGAAGAGAAAGAGGAAGCAGCCGAAGGTAGGCATCTTCATTCTCTGATAGGATTAGTCTAAAGTAGAAACTGATGAAGAGATGAAATAACAACAAGAAAAAAACATCTAAACACAAATCCTCTTTCGTTTCTTCAAGTTTCAGGTGGTACTAATGGTGCCGTGGCTACTTCTTGACACTTCACAACTGCCAAAACAGTCTACATATTCTGTTTTTCTTTTATAGATTTTGTTCTTTTACGAGTGGTTTTGAAATTATACAAAGGAAGCGTCAAGCAGTGGAGCAAAGGTGAAAGTTTGAAAACTATTGGGGGATTTTTTTTATATATAATCTTCTTTGATTCTGAAAAAAAGAACAATAATCTTGTTTGATTTCATGGAATATTATTGTGAATAGCATGCGTGTGCGAGTAGTATCTCCTCAGGTTGAAAAGTAAAAGCTATACACATATGTTGGTTGTTTTGAGAATCGCTTTTGCCATTTATACACTACTTCTACTTGGTTCAATAGATTTTGTTACTTGTATGAAATTGCCAACGAGCCAGCCAATCACTGATAGATCGCTAACTGTCTGGCAATTTACAAGGCTTAACTCTAGTGGTGTTGATAAGTACCTTAACCCCAAAAATAAAATAGTTGATTTTACGCATAATTCTTTCCAAATGCATCGTATATATTCTTTAACATCATATGCAAGTTTCCCTGAATTTTACAAATTATCATGCTCGATTACCATTGCTCCTCTCCAAGTCTCCCCGGCGGCAACATCAACGGGAACAAGCATCGACGCGGGACCGGTGCAGGCAAAGTAATGTTGCTTCCCATATTTGTCCCACATCGATCCTGGGCTTCCCACATACATATCCTCGAATCCTATCCTTATCATCCTGAAGAACAATCCTCTTCCCTAGAATTCATATGTTGTAAATTAGTTTTTGATTGAAAATTTGGGGGAACTTCAACTGGTCATATATTTTAGTTTTGTGTATATATTTTACCTGATCGATGGTTTCATATTTAGAAGGTGGAGTGTTATAGACAGCCTTTAATCTCTCAGCCGGAGGAGCACCATAGACTCTACTCATCTTTTTTTCAAGAAGTGTAATGACAGAGTCTTCTACTGCCCAAATCCCCGGCTTTTCGCCTTCTTCTGACCCAAACCACCCTGAGGAGTCCGGCTTCATTGCCTCGGAAGGAGACAAGAGCTCATAAGGTGATGATAAAGGCGGGTTAGGGCAATAAGAACATCCTTTTAGTCCTTGAATTCCAGCCCCACTCCGTTTCTTGAACCTCAAGTAACTCATAATCCCGGGTTTAAGAGTGGCCGGTTTGCGCCCATTGTTTTTCACAACCAGGGCTGTAGCCATGCTTATCGGGTAGAGAGAGACGATATAAGTTAAGTCGAGAAACCCGGCCGTACAGCTCAATTCGATCTGAGAAATGTTTTAACAAAGATTTCAACATTTTGTGTGAACCATATATATGATAAACTGTACTGGAGATAACTTGGAGAGTAAGACGTGTATCTTGCGGACCAACTATTAGGATATAGAATCGATCACCTGAAGAGCATCAATGGCATCAGAATCAGTGTCCTTGACACTCCAATCACAACCTGATATCACTGAAGAAGACCCTCCTTTCGGTCCAGTAGCTTCGTCTCCGTTTACCATTACAAGACCAACCCCACCTTTGGTCTTATTATCACCACCATCAACAGTGTAAAGAACTTCTTCGAATCCGTCGTCTTTCCAATATACCTTTGGCTTATATGAAACCACATGAGCATCTGATAGACTCAGTTTTAAGGAGCTTCCATTTCTGACCTTAAGCTCGACCATAGGAACATTGTTTGATTCCGAAAATTTTATGCCTTTTCGTCCGAATTTATCTTCAAGACCTTCAGTTATTGTCTCTGTCTGAGGAGATGAGAGTAAACTTCTTACAGCTTTTGGTTTTGGGAGAGAAGAAAAAGAAATAAGAGAAGCCATTGATGGACAAAGTAAGGTGAAGAAAAGATAAGACTAGTGAAGTTGTAGTAGCACTACGTATTAAAGCCTTATCCTTTTGGTGGCAACCATGTATTTTTTCCTTTGTTTTTTTTAGGAGTTTGTAACATTAATGTTTTGTATTTAAACTGGGGCTTTTACGTTAATTTAATATTTATGTAAGTAAATTTTGTAGTAGTTATTTTAAGCATTAATATAAGGGTTAATTAGTTAAATAACATGTTTGAGCATGTAACTTAATAAAATAACATGTGTAATTTGTAAATTTAGTAAAGTAACAAAGAGAAATAAAATTTGACTGATTTACTCTTTCAATAAATTCAATTAAAGTTGTCATTTTAATACACATTTAACGCAAATTTGTTTCTTAATTAAAAAAAAAATAATTTTTCTAAAAGTAAACTTGAAGTTGACATATATAAAAATACA